TGATCTGTCAGGGCTGATTCTTGCTTGGTTGCTGAAAGCATCTTAGCTTGCGACCCCTGCTGGAAAACTAACAAAAAGCGTGCAATATGGAGAAAAAAAAATTAAAGAAAAGATGCCCACTGGGATCCATTTCCATTATGTTCAAGCTATTCCTGGGAACAATGATGTATTCATTTTTCTGGACCTCATGTGGTGGCACATAACTATTGATAAACTATGGCCCAGTAAATATTATTCTAATGGCCTGAAACAGCTAGGGGCTTAATTCCCTGTGGGTTAGAGGAAGCTCAGAATGCCTCCTGTTGGAGGCAGGCCTGGAGAGGAATTGCAGAGGCTATGTGCATCCGTGAGTAACCATGTCTCCCGACTCGGAAAAGGAGTCTGCTTGGAGATTGTGGATGGCCTCTAGGAACTGGTGAGAAGCCAAAAAGCCAGGATTGGAAACTGAAAAGAAACGAAGGGAACCAAGCTCTAAGGATCATGTCAAGATGGTGCCAAAGGAATGGTTCCACTGGGACCACATCTTGGTACATTGATGCTGCTGCTGACGCCAGCCGCTTGATCCATGACCCACAGTGCTAAATAAACACTCCTTTGTCCTTGTGTCCTTTAACTACTCCCGCAAGATTCCAAGCCCCAGGTGGGGTCATTTAACTGAGTTCAGAGCTAGGAGATATGGACAAGGAGAAAGAGCCTCACCTTGTCCACCAAAACCATCTCCCTAGAACAAGAGTGTAGTGCCCCCTAAATAAGAAGACCTTCGGTGGCTGGGTATCTTCTAAACACTTTGTAGGAGTTCAAGTAGAGATGGAGGGAAAGGGCAAGACAAGCAGTATCTTGGAGTGAAATAAGAACAGACAGATCTGCGTTCCAATCTGGAATCTTTTGTACTTTTAGAAAATTAATGAAGTTTCCTAATCTGCTGATTCCCAATCTTTAAATAGAAATAATGCCATCTGCTCTCTAGGGTTGTTGTGAAAATTCAATTCAATCATTCATTCACTTTTGCAAACACATTTATCAAACATCTAGTAAGTACCAGGATAATTTGGGGACAAAAATATGAAAAACACCTAGAACAGCCAGAGCTCTGTTCTGAGAACAGATTTAGACAAGAGAGACTCACGTAATCCCATGAAAGTAGTGATGCTTAACTGACTCCCCTATCTGCAACTTACATTTTTAGATTATTCAATGTCAAGTCCCTGCCTATAAATAGATTTTCTTAAGATATATGTTATCTAAAAGGTAAAAAAAAAAAAAAAAAAACAGAATAAACAAACAAACAAACAAAAAGAAATACTCTAAAAATTAACTACAATACTAAAACAAAACAATCATAATTCTGAGAAGCATCAAAGCCTTGTGCTGGTAGAATTCACATAGAGTGATCAGAAGAAGAAAATGTCAAATTATATGAAATCCTCACTCTCATTTAATATTTAGCATACGTAACTCAGAGATACCCAAACTACAATTAACCTGAAAATTAAAATAGACATAAAATAAAAATGGTGGGAGGACAATTTAGTTAAGAGTTTCATAAGGGTTTTATGATTGTCAAAATGCTGTTCATATATTTTTTCCTTATTTCTCCCAAATATTCCATTAGTCTCTATTTTGCAGAAAAGAAAAAGAAAAAAACAAAACAAAACAAAACAAAAAACCTGAGCTCCTGGAGGGAAAAACATTTAGCCAAGGTCATGGGGCAAGAAGTCGGCTCTACAGTGCCTGGAGGTCTCTCTCTTTCCCCTACCAGAAAAAGGCAGTCTCAATAGAAAGCACTGGATCATGTAACCAGGTTGAAGGAAGACAATTACCCCCAGTAGATAAGGAACTACCCTGGTTTTTCCAACTCAGCTGGGAAGTTCCTGCCTTCTATAATGACTGGAAAGTTACTGGATTTCCTGCTGAGCAGCCAGAAAACTACTATTCTCCTGCCACAAGTGTCTCACATGGGGACCTTGGTTTAAGTGCTGGCCCAATACCCAACGCTTGAGCACAACCTTGGCATAGGCTCCATTTAGACATCCACTTATCTGTCCCTCCTTCCAAACCCTAGCCTCCACAGAGAGAACAGGACTCCTTCCACAGGGTGGTTATGTGTCACCAAGTAAAGATGCCACAGTCCCAGAAAGACAGCGTGCACTATCAAGCGATTTCTACCAGCCAGTGCACCTTCTGGCCTCTTTCTAGTCACCACCAAATTTCAATTCAAAATAAGAAAAGCTTCCACATGGCTTGTCCTTTCAGAGAATGCCTGGGATTTTTTTTTTTTTTTCCAATAAGAAAGTTCCTTCTTTTGACAATAAAAGTAAAAGCCCCAACTATATTGTGGAATCCCAGTAATGCAAATCCCTCTCCTTTAACAAGGTTACAAAGTGGATGCACTGTGCTAAGGACTGTAGGCTCCATGCTGATCCTATCATCAGCAGAGTCAAGGCCCCCCTGGCCTGTGGAAACTCCTATTTGCTAGTTCAAGGCATCACTTTGTCATCAGCTTCCCCAGTAAATACTTTCCATCTTCAAGCTAGAGTGCATCTTATTATAGCAGCAGCTTCATAGTGGACCTGCAGCCCAGAAACAGCTCAACAAGCTTCGCTCTATGCTGCTGTCCTAATTAAACGCTGATTTAGGAGTGCTTAGTCATGAAGTTGTCCATCCCTGTCAAAGTCTGCTGGAAGAGTTAGATAGGTAGCTGAAGCCTGGAAAGTCTCCGTTTAGAATGAATCTTTTCCTGACTAGGGCAGGAGAAAATCTTATATAACATAATGGTCCATTTCAATATTGTATTTTCTGCAATCCTGTGGTGGGGCTATCTAAGCACTGGAAATACAAAGGGAAGGCTAGTGCAGGGATTTGCAGCTGAAACATTCATCTCCTGGAATTTCAGTAGGTCAGGCTTATTCTAACTGCACCGACTTTTGCTGGGAAAGCAGAAAGCAAAAATAATTCTGAAAACCAAAGAGAGCGCTTTGAAATGCAGGGAGGCAAAAGTTGGGTTATATCCTCTCCTTAAAAAAAATATAAAATTCCTGCAATTAATCTTCGAGTGAAATCTGGTAATTGTATCTTAACAAAATGAGGTAATATTTGATTGTAAAGCGAGAACGAACAGCTAAAACTGAAGGAATTTGTCTGTATTCTGGCTGTAGCCTGGGCAGCAGCTGGCCAAACACTGAGTGCCGGAGCTCCTTGGAAATCAGCTAAGGACCGATTCCCTGCCCTCCCTGCTGGACCGGTGTCTGGAGGAGCAATCCAGCCCTGGAGCGGTGCAGGAGGAGAGCTTGGTTTGCTAAAGAAGGAGCGGAGCCCTGCACTCCCTCCTTCTCCCACTGGCCGCTCTCCCTGATACTCTTTGGGCTACACTAGGTAGCAAGAAATTGCTTCTGGGAGCGCAGTCTGAAGACAGCGCATTTGGAGTTGCGTCCCCAGGATCCCCCAAAAAGCATCTTGGCTCAAGTTGCGGATAAAAATAGCCTGGGATAACGCTGAGGGAAGGGGAGGAGCGAGTTTCGCACAAGGCAAGGCAAGTCAAGGATACGACTGGTTCTGCAAAGAGCGGGTTAGGGAGGGAGGGGTGCAACTCTTGGCCCAAGAGAAGGCCCTGGGCGTGCAAGGAGGCTCTCATGCCATCTTGGTGGAAGTAGTAAGAGTAAGACCTATAGCGCTGGAAAATAACTGCTGAGCCCAGCACAGCCCTTTGACTATGGTGCCCGTATCATGGCTTTGGCTCCAGCTTCTCCATCTCACCATCCTCCTGCGCTCCAGGTTCGGCCCTTGAAGCCGGCCCTCGGGTTCCTGGACAGCCTGTGCCAGAAGGGGGAGCAGCACCAGGTCAGTCGCCCAGCTGGGAAAGCACACCTGGAGAAGTCAGGCTGGGCCAGTAAGTCCCTGGTTCCCGAGGAGTGGGCTCAGCGCTTCCACGGCGGGTTCGCTCCCCTTATCCCCCTGCCCCCAACCTCCTCCACTATCCATGGTACCCGAAATAGAAACCGAGGCGGAAAAAAAAAAGTAAAAAGTAAGCTGAAATATCAAGATCCAGTTATAATTGGTTTCCGTATGATAGGCTACTTACAGTCCGGGCTGTCGCTTCAATCTCTTTCCTCGCGAGCACCCCATCCCTCGGGAGATGCCCCATCGCCTCCTTACTCCAACCGACCGCAAAGGTCAGCCGGACTAAATCGTCCCCACCCAGGATGCCCGGTCGGCTGAGTGACTTGCCGACTGTCAGCCCGCTAGTTCTCCGCCCCAGGTGGTACCCAGGCTTGGCTGAGCGCTGTGCTCCAGCCGCCGCACAGGGTCCTAATGGGAAGCCGCCGGCGCGTAGCGGCGGACTGGAGAGAACCTCTGAATCTGCTAGAGGGGGAAAAATCCAATTCGTTAAGAGTCAGAAACTCCAATTTCTGCTCTTGTAGACCAGTCCTCGAGACTTCCAGAGCTGAGGTGCTAGAGAAGGAGGTGAGGACGATGAGAAGACCCTGTCTCTCCTTGTCTCCTCCCTTTCCACTCCACCTGCTTCAGCCTCGACTCACATTGGGTTCTGCACTTGCCCCGAGTCCGGGCGCCAGGCGAGGGCACCTGGGTGCCGCTTCCCATATTGGAGGCCCCCGCCCCACGAGCGCTGCACTCACCTGAGCCGCGGTGTGGTCCAGCCCGTCGGGCTCCCTAAATCGGCTCCAAGGCTGGGCCATGTGCAGCTCCGCCGAGCACCCGCGGCGAGTGGAGTGAATTCCGGGACGCCCAAACGAGGGCGGGGAAGGGGCTCCGACACCCACAGAGAACCGGCGGTGGCGGCGGCTCAAGGCTGCCAGCCCGCGGAGGACCTTGCAGGCGGGCGTTTTGGTGCTCTGTCCTGAAGAGGGGAGGAGCAGGAGGAGGAGCAGGAGCAGGAGGAGGGACGAAGGAGGCCGAGCCCTGAGGGAGAGCGCGTTGGGCAGAGGAGGATCGCGAGCGCCCACTGCTGCCCGGCCGGTTCCGGTGCGGCCCCGAGTCACGCTCGCTGGATGCCAGGAGCCACTCAGCGCTGGGCAGCTCAGCAGGACCCTACCTGGCAGAAGCGTCAGCCGCGGGTCCTGGAGTAGTTGGTCCCGCCTACCCTGTGTTGCGGCTCCTCGGGTTTCTATCCAAGGTGAGGGACCAGCGCTTACAGGAGGGTGGGGCGAGTGGACTGGCAGACTTCGCTGTCGCTGCAAACTTGGAATGTCCTGTCTACTCTCTGACCCCGAGCTTGGAACCCATCTGTTCCCCCACTTCCCAGCTCTGCACGGTCCCCCAAACACGCGCTCCTCCCACTGTGTTCGCACCACGTGTTTCCCTACAGGCAGGTGACCCACCTTAGGCACGGGTGATTGCTGCGCCGCCCGGGAAGCAGGGGGAGCCATTCTCTCCAATTCGCACTGCAGCGGAGCTGGGACAGCAGCGACCGCCTGGGCCAGGAACCGCTCGAGGAACCCACTTCAGAGTGCACCGTGTAGCCACTGAACACACCCTCCCTTTGGTTTCGCGTCAGAACATAGATGCGGACTTGTGAAGAGGGAATGGAGAATTCCGTTCTGCTTTTGCTAGTGTGCTAGGATGGCAAATGTCAGCGCTGAAATTAAGCAAGGTCCCCTCCGCCACCCCCTAGTTCTGAAGCTGAGAGGTTTTGTGTGAGAACCGACCCGCACACAGTAGTTCAATTTAAGATTTGGAGAGCATGGGTTTGGAATCTTGGAGAAACTGGGCTGCCTGGCTACCTAAGCCTAAGCAAGTCATTCTCAAAGGCGGCTCAGCAAAAGTGGTAATTTTTTTTTAATCAAATGCACATCAAAACAATCTTCTTTGCATGAGATTTCAATACCTCTTCCATATCTTAAATACTCCTCGAAGATAAATATTTGGAAGGATTCAAACTTGCCATTTACTTTTTTTTTCTTTCTTAATTGATAGTCTTCCAACTAAGGGAAAGTTTTTATAGGGAATGTCTACAGGGAATAAACCCCTTAATTTCTATAAAGATTAGTCTCTGCCATTTTAGAAGGCAAAGCTACATCCAGCGCAGTATTTTCTGGTTGGTAAGACCAGATGTGTCCAAAAGGACTGAAACAAGACTTCCTTTTGAAAAATAAATTTTTAGGAATTTTAATGACCCTGGCTATGTGAACTTTTAAAAAGTCACTTTAAGGCTGCACTTTGAAAAACCTTAGCATTTAAATTTAACTTAGATGTAGGGGACTGCTTTTATCCTCCACTCTATGAAGCTGTGTAAAGTCATGTATAAGGTTTTTCTGGTCAAATGCCAGTCTAAGATAAAGCCCTGTCAATCGTGGTATCCTTGTGTTTCTACCTGCAGCCAAGCACAGTGCAAATCATGAGTTCTCCAAAAGAGGCAGAGGTTTTGATAGTCAAAATTGTCATGATGCCTTTTTCTAAAGGTTTCAAAGTGTTATGCCACCCATAATATGAATTTCACAACTCATTTGTGAGACACAAAGAGGGATAACAATGCTTCTATTTACACCGTAGAAGCCAAAGGTAGATTAACTGATCTACTTCATTATCTATCCCAAAAACTTGAAAGAAACTAGAATCCCAGGCTCCAGTTCTTTGTCTGTTAGTTGTTTCCATTTGCAAAAGTGACTCCAGGCCCATCTGACAAGTGACAAGAATTTGAGAACAGGCACTTTAGATATTCTTGTTTAAAAAAAAATAGCACACATTCATTAATCAATAATGTTCTTATGTTTAGATAAGTGAAAATACAAATGCATTATTTTGTTCTTATTTAGCATCATGTCTCTGTGCAGACATTTACCACCTCCCCTAATTAGTCTTCTCTGAAGGCTCTGGAGGAGAATTACACTTCCTACCCAGGAAGCTAAGCACAACGGCCTACCTCTGCTGTAACAACACCAACATTTTGTGGAAAATATCTGTCTAGGGGCTGGTGCTCCCCAGAAGATGAGAAGTGCCTTCAGCATGGGCACCATGACATCATTCTGTCCCCCCCAGACCCTTGTATGATGTCTGAAACATACCTTGCTCTAAAGAAAAAAAAAGTCTATAGATTTAATTTCCTTTATGGTGTGATGACTTAGGGTAGATATTTCCCACTCCACAGCCATGATGTGAGAATGGATATCCATGGAAGATCAACGGTCCTTCTTAGTTATGTGACCCAAGACAGTGTCATCAACTGAAAAATGGGGGAGTGTGATTATTGATCTCTGCACTGCTTTCGTTTAAGCTATTAAAATGTTGATTGAGGAACTAGGATTGTGACTCAGTGGTAAAGCACCTGCCTGGCACATGTGAGGCACTGGGTTGGATCCTTAGCACCACATACAAATAAATAAACAAAATAAAGGTATTGTATCCATCTACAACTAAAAAAAAATTAAAAAATACTGACTGAGCACATAGTATGTATCCAACACTACTGCAGGTACTTGGGGGGAAATGGAAAGCTGAGATGCTACCACTGCCCTAAGGGAGAATAATAAAATCTTGTTAGAAACAAAGACAATGTAGACTCAGAGGCCATCTTTGCAAAAACCCCTTGACATTGCTTAAGTTGAAAGCTGCATTAGCAGAAGGGAAGTTTCAAGAGTGAAGTAGAAACCAAAGGAAGTGACCTATGAGTTTGGTCCATCATGGACAGTACCAGCAACTAAGATACAACCAGGGCTCATGTGCAGGGAACTGGGGAATATGTGTTATGTAAGCTGCACCTCATGTTCTTAAAGCAGCCTTGTTAGAGAGAACTAGGATGTATCCATTTGACAAATGGAAACTGAGGTTGACAGAAGTGAAGCAATTGATTCAGCATGACACAGCAAGAAAGGGTCTCCCTTAACCAATCTTAAAGAACATTAGTCCAGACTTCCCCAATTTTGTAACTAAGAGCGTCCTTATCTTCCTTCCACTAAAAAATAGACTCCCAATCCAGTGCTCCTTATAATTGAGTGGTTTGCTGTTGTTGGTTTTGTTATGTGGTGTTTTTCCTCTCCTGTGCAATGACTGGTGAGGTCAAGAGAAGGAGAGGCAGGGGGAGAAGAAAAGAGTGAGCTTACTTCTCCTGAAGCTGTCTATATAGGACCCACTTCACTCCACCTGCCCAGACTCAGGGGGATTTTACCTGCAAGCCCTGTCTACTGAGTTGCCCTGTATACTTATCCTCTCATAATGGCCGTTGGAATCTTTCAGGTTAATAGCATGAATATCGAGGAGTCCAATGGGATTCTTTACAAGCAGAGGAAATTGGGATCAGGTTAAAAATCCAATTTTAATAAACTTTCCAAGTCTTGATTTAGCTGGTTGTGCTAATGGCTCTTACTGCTGAATCACCTTAAAAGTCAAATGTATTTTTAAAAGGTCCTTCTTGTATGTATGGGAAGCTTGATGGATATTGCTTAATTGCACATTGTGCATTCCTGTCTTCATTGAAAAAGATCATCTGTAAAACTGAAGAGAGCTGATAGGAAATGCAGCTATCCATAGAACTGGTTGGGTAGAAGGGAAGGCATTGGGTTTGCAAGATAATTTCCACACGTTTTGACCAAAACAAAGAAAACATGATTATGCTGTGTGAAAATGGTATCCTCAAATAACTCCACTAATTTGATTGTGCTGAGGTCTAGAATTGTTTCTATTTCTTTTGATTTGCTAATTAGCCAGAGCAGTCTGCCTGTGAGAGAGGAAATGAGGGTCAGAGCCATAAAACATGGAGGATTGTCTGTCCTTCCAATTCAGCTCACCCTTCACATTTCCCCCAAAGCAATCATCCCAGATCCCAGTTTACCTACAAACAGTCCCCATATCTATCATCAATGGATTATTTGGTGTTTTTCTTTTTTGAAACATGGTTTCTGTTCTTTGTACGATAGCAGGTTTCCTGTTGTTGTGTGTGGTTACAGGGTTGAGTTTTGACTTGTAGCACTTACACCTCTGTGGGTCGCATCTTTACATAATGCTACAAATTAGATATGGTTTGAATGTCCCCCAAGGGCCCATTTGTCAACCACTCAATTCTCAGGGTAGCAGTAGTGGGATTTGGTGGAACCTTTAGGAAGTAGGCTTAGTGGGATGTCCTTGGATCATAGGAAGCATGCCCAACAGAGGGGTGTATGTGGTTCTCTGTGAACCCTTGGTAAATCTCCAGAAAGGATGGCTGTGAAAGGTGCAAGCTTAGCCTACCTCCCGCTTTGCTTCCTGGTTCTAGATGTGATGGCTTGCTCCTGATTGCCATCCTGACACTGCCATCCACCATGGGGAGATGCTGCTTAGGCAGAGACCTTGCCAGAACCTGCATTCAGAAAGCCTCTTTACCTATACATTGGCCTGCCTCTAGTATTTTGTTATACTAACAAAAAACTGAGTAACACACATACATACACAAATAAACATTACATTTAATAATCATATTGGCATAAAGATGAATTTTTGTTTAAATGTTTTAGTTAACTTCAAATATTACTTTTTTCTTCTGATTTTAAATGAAATTATAATATTTTTAGAGGGCCTGAAAGCACTGTGGGCCCGAGGCACTGAGCCTGTGACTTTTAATGGCAAGCTTGGCTCTGTATAGATAATGACATTGCAGAGCAGGAATGCTTAGTTGATTCAGGTAGAGGCAGTCTGTTAAATACAATTTCATATAAATAGCTTATAGTCCATTTGTTGTGTTGGATAAACAACTACAGACAACATATTGCTTTTATTTCTGATCTTCTGTCAAACTTGGCCTGGAATTACACACATTAGTGCAATAAAAACGGCAATATTGCAGGCCTGAAGTTCTTCCCTTTGTAAAATTATTAGATCCTGTTGAGTGCTGGAATGCCTTCAGGGCAGTGGACAATTGTGGCACTCTTTTAGATTTTGGTTTCCTGGGACCAAAGCTGGCTGATCTTCTGATGAGCAAGTCTTGATTTTCTTTTAGACCTTATTCGAAGACACTCACTCTCTACAGGGAAACAAAAACAAAAACAAAAATCTTTTCCTCTCCTTGCAGCCCCATCAGTTCACTGAACCAACATTTACCTGGTACCAGCTCGATAGCAGCACCTGGGCTGGGTACCTGGGTGATTTGAGGGGAAGAAGGGGAAACAGTCCCCCCTTAAGGAGCTCACAGATAAACATGGACTGAAA